ACACACACACACACACACGTACACATGCATGCACACACAAATACATGCACACACAGAGATGTATATACACATGCGTGCACATGCAAATATGTATGTGCACGTGCGAATACATGTGTGAGCACATATACCCATAGGCATGCACATGTGTGTGTGCACATGCTCACAATGCATGTATGCACACACAGATGTATGTACATATGCGCATGTGTGTGCATGCACCATACACATGCACACATATGCACATACCTGAGGCAGGGCTCCCCAGGTTGTTGAGAGGACCATCAGCCTCACTACCTGAGCTAGGCCAGTCCCACCAGCAGCCCAGCATTTCCTCCACAGAATCTCCCCCAGGAGATTTGCACACGGCTCTCTGGGCTCTGTGGGTCTCTGTGTGCCCAGAGGGAGAATGAGTGGGTCCCTTGGACAGCATAGAGGGAGGACAGTCTTGTACAGAGGTTTTTTCTAGAATTCCAGCCTAGCAGGCTCCTGGCACAGAGTAGGTGGACAATAAAAAACTTGAATGTCGCCCAGCTGGTGTGGCTCCGTGGATTGAGTGACCTCCCATGGACTGAGGTCCCAGTTCGATTCCTAGTCAGGGCACATGCCTGGGTTGCGAGCTCCATCCCCAGTAGGGGACTTGCAGGAGGCGGCCGATCGATGCTTGTCTCTCACATCGATGTTTCAATCTCTCAGAAAATAAATAAATAAAAATTATTTTAAAACACTTGAATAACATTCTGAAATGCGAATGTCACATGATGCCATGGGACAATAGGATCACTTTATACCTGAGTGCTCAGATTCCATAGCAGGCTTTTCATTCATCAACTACCTTGTACTGAGACTCAGCCACGAGCGCCACACCAGGGGGACTGAGGAAGACATGCCAGCCACAGACCAGAGCGGACACAAGCCTTGCCCAGTGTGTGCCAGGGCGGCACGGAAAGCCTGAGAAACCACATGTGCACCTGGGCGTGGCGGGTCTGGCTGCCGTTAGGGTGCTGGGCTTCTTTAAAAGGTAATATTTCGCCCTGGCCAGTTTGCTCAGTGGTTAGAGTGTCGGCCCGTGGACCAGAGTCGCAGGTTCAGTTGGGGTCAAGGGCACATACCTTGGTTGGTTCCACTGTGCGGGAGGCAACTGATAGATGTGTCTCATGTTGTTTTTCTCTCTCTCCCCCTCTCTCTTCCTCCCACTCTATCTGAAGAAAATGGAAAAATATCCTCAGGGGAGGATTTCTTAAGAAAAGGGAGGGGGGTAATATTTCAAGAATAGATAAGCATAGAAGGGAGAGGGTGTTCCTGGCTAAGGGAACTTCCCAGAAGTATACAAACGCACATTTTCCAGAAGAGGAAAAGTCTAGCTTCTCCTGGAACCTAGGTGAGCAAGGGTCAAATTCCTCAGGACCCATTTAAAAAAAAAAAAAATTCCCCAGGGCTTTACAGACCAGGCCGGGGACTTTGGACTTTCTCTCTTGGGGAACTGGGAGCACTCCCGAGGGTTCAGTCACAGCGGGCGCACTGATTACTGACAGCTACGTGGCCGGAGTTGGCAGGGCAAGCATCTGGCATCTTGGTACCAGGCCGTGGCCACACCTGTGCAGTTGAGTCACGGTGCACTGAGTCACGGCCGTCCTTCTCTCTCCACCCTCTTCAGAAATCAGATAATCCTGCCATCCTTCCGAAAGCTGAGTCCTGACTGACGGCTCTGCCACTCAGAACCTGCTTCCCAGCCCCAGCAGGCTGCTGAGTGCCAACTGGTACATTTTCAGGAATTTGTGAGCTGATTTTAAACACGACAATTAGTAAAAATTGAGTTATATAAACCAACAAATGATTTAAAGCAGAGACAATACTCCACACCCACTGCTTTCTAATTACTTACTACACCATCGTGTATGCTCTTGCGGTCACAGATGCCCACTGCGTACGTACGGTGGGAATTCGGGATAGTGGGGTGCCATTGCTCCTCTCTCCCCAACTCTGCACTCAGGGACACCATGCTGGTAGCCATCGTGGGAATATTTACACCACGGAAATTGGCAAATGCTTTGACTGCAGCGTGGTCGTTAAACACTTGCCAGCCACCACACTCCCGCTTTGCCGGCTCCGGTGGGAGGACACGGCCTTCCCAGGCCTGTCCGTCCACTCCCAGAGCTGGCCGATGCTTTCAGGAAGGTACGTGGAGCCCTGAGCATCTGCTCCTGAGGACGTGGTCCTGTTGTGGGCTATCTGGGGTGTCCCTCTGTACTGCCACAGTTCCCACTGAGAGCTGCGTACTCTGGGCAGGCTCCAGGGAGTCTGGCCACACGGGAGGGGGGAGGGGCTGGCCTAATCCCCACTGGGGTCGGGAACTGAAGAGGGGCCTTGCCTATGTCAAACCAACCAAGTCCAAGGAGCCTCCTGGTCCAGGGGACAGGCAGCTGTCCGGGCATCTCTCGGAGGCACCCAGCTGCTCCTCAGTGCCACCTCCAGCTGGTACCCGCTAGGCAGAACGCACGTGTGAGAACGAGAATGTGTCGAGCAGACAGCGGGAGGCAGCAGCGTATGCCTTGTCTTCGTCCTCTGTCATGGCAGCAGCCTGGCAAAGGCCTGGCAAAGGCAGCCCCGGACGGACTGCCACAGATGTCAGCTCTCAGGGAGTCTCTTCATGACCTTGGAGAACTTTCTGCAGCAGGACATTTTTCAAACTAAAGGAGAAGACACAGGCCAAGATTGGCAAATTGGGCTTTGTTAAAATTAAGAATATCTGTTCATCAGAAGACAAGAAAAAGGCGACTCACAGACTAAGAGAAGCATGCAATTCATGAAACTGACAAAGGGCTCATGTCCAGAATACAGAAAGAACTGTCAGTAGAAAAAGACAGACAAGCCCATTAAAAACTGGCAAGAGGCTTGAATGACACTTCCTGAAAGATGACATCCGAACGACCCAATTAGCCCGTGGAGAGGTGCAGCCTTGTCAGCTTCAGGGTAGTTCAAATTCAAAGCCACAGTGAACGACACAACACACCCAGAAGCCTGGATAGAACTTTAAAAACTGAATAAGAGTCAGTGAGGGTGCAAAGCAACCGAAACTCGTGGGAGTGTGAACTGGTACAACCTCTCCAGAAACAGTTGGGCAATAGCCACTCCAGCTGACACCCACCCAGCCTGTGGCCCAGAAGGGCCCAGCTGCAAGTATGTGCTCGGACCCAACGACACATACTAGAATGTCTTTACCACTTCATCCATAAGATCCCCAACACAAGTGTCCAGTTCGGGACCGGAGTTTTTCACATGTGGACCATCTCGCAGTCATGAGAAGGAACCGCCTACCACAGCATCCGAAGGAGCCCCACGGATGAAGGCAGACACAGAAGAGCATGAAGCAGAGGAGTTCATTTCTGAACAGCTCAAAGCAGCTGAGATTAACCTCTGGCAACAAAAACCAGGATGGTGGGTTGCTTCGGGGAGGAGACAAGGGGTAGGAAAAACACTGTCTAGATTCCAAAGTTTAAAAATCAAAATGCTTTCTCCTGCTGGATTGCTGGATTTTTCTGCTCTGCTGGGTTTTTCTGCTCTGCTTTTTGGAGTCAGAAAGTTCGAGGGAAGAGAAGGTGCCCAAGGAGTCTCCACCTTCCTCCTTGTACCCCACTTTCTCCTCTGCCACCAGCCAAGCAGGAACTCCAGGGAAAGTCCAACTGGGGACTGTCCCAAAGTGGTGATTTCATTTGGCTTCAAGTGAGAGTTCCACTAGCAACTTGGCTTTTCATTTCTTTTTAATGGTATGTATTTATGTGTTTACTTATCAAGCACAATCTTAGCTCTTACTGTGTACCAGATACTGTTCAAAGAGTGTTGTCAATATTAACTTATTTAGTACGTTACACATGCCTTCCTTCAGCCCTACTGGGGACTTGTAACAATGGCCTCTTTAGTGAGCACTTACTATGTGTCAGGTAGTGAGCTAAGTTATCAATTATTTATCACATGAGCCCTTGGGAGGTGGGGGGAAAGTTTGTTCCCTTTACAGATGAGGAAACATGCTTGGCTGAGATTCAAAGCCAGATAAATCCTGGTTATCACAAACTACCAGGCTTAGCCTGTCCAGTGACCAACTGCCTATACCAGTCACCTTGCAAGACTGGTAGAAACCTGAGGTTTCTTAGGCCCCAACCCGAGCCTAATGAATCAAAGCGAAAATCGGAATCGGCATCCCTTGGCCTGAGAAGTAGAATCCCCCACAGCCAAGGTTCAAAACCCAACTTTTGGCTGCACTGGGCACTGCAGAGCCACACCCCTGGCCCTGCACACAGCAGGCACGCAGGCGCACAGTAGGCACACAGGGCTGTTCTGTTGAATGGACAGAAATGGGGCGGCCTGAAAGACTTATCTCCTACAAGAGGGGGTGTCCATTGCTTCCTTCGTGTCTCTGAGCAAACGTCAGGTCTCCTCCTCTGGGAAGCCTTCCCTGACCATCCCAGCCCAACCTTGGTAACTGCCAACCCCTTTGCGTTGCCTCAGTTGCCTTCCTTGCATCTCGGGGTGTTGGATGCGGACTTCCAGAATATCCGCTGCAGAAGGTTCACCCCCGTCCCCAGACAAAGCACACAGCAGGCACTCAACCAATGATGGGGAGGTGGCCGAGAGCCTGACCACTCTGGGAAACTGCACAGCTAACCCACCCACAGCCCCCGACGTCGAGCCCGGCCCGGGCGCCACAGGTACCCCCAGTCCCGACGTCGAGCCCAGCCCGGGCGCCGCAGGCACCCCCAATGCCAACGTCGAGCCCGGCCCGGGTGCCGCAGGTACCCCCAATGCCGACGTGGAGCCCGGCCCGGGTGCCGCAGGTACCCCCAGTCCCGACGTGGAGCCCGGCCCGGGCGCCGCACGTACCCCCACTCCCGGGCGGCTTCCTGGCGGCGGCGGGCGAGGGCGGGGTGGGGCTGGCCGTCATCCACTCACCAGCCTCGCCCTCCCCAGCGTTAATGAGATTAGCGATTGAAGGCGTGCAGGAGGCGCGGGCCACCCCCAGGCCGCGGGGCGGGACGGCGGCCGGGACACAGGCAGCCGGACAGCGGCGGCGGCGCAGGCAGCGCTCCGGGGCCATGGAGAAGGCGCGGCCGCTGTGGGCCAGCCCGCTGCAGTTCGTGTTCGCCTGCATCTCCTACGCCGTGGGCCTGGGCAACGTGTGGCGCTTCCCCTACCTGTGCCAGCTGTACGGCGGAGGTGAGTGCGCGCCCGCCCGGGCTCCAGGGCAGCCAGTGCCCAGCCCCGGGCGCCCGCTACCCCGCCCGCGGGCGCCGGCTGCGGCTCCGGAGCTGGGACCTCGGGACCTCGGGGAGCTCGGGGAGCTCGGGACCTCGGGGAGCTCGGGGAGCTCGGGACCTCGGGACCTCGGGACCTCGGGACCTCGGGGAGCTCGGGGAGCTCGGGACCTCGGGGAGCTCGGGACCGGTCCGAGGCGGCGATGGCTGGGCTTCTAGGGACGGTCCGCGGTCCGCAGAGAACGGCCTCGCTCAGCGAGCTCCTACCCTGCTGCAGACCGAAACTTGTATTCCCCGCCGCCGGCAGCGACTCACATGGGAGGATCCTGAGAGGACCCTGAGCGCCTTCGCTGAGTTCCTTTTCTTCTGTCGATCCTCACTCTAGAATACTTTTCCATTGATTTTGTTTAGATAGAGTGGAAGGGAGGGAGGGAGGGAGGGAGAGAAACATGGATGGGAGACACACTGACTGCTCGCCTCCCTCACTACCCTGTCTGGGGCCGGGGATCAGACCTGCAACCCAGGTACCTGCCCCTGACCAGGAATTGAACCCCAAACCCTTCAGTCTGCTGGCGGGCGCTCCAACCATGGAGCCAAACCGGCCAGGGCTATTTCTTTAGATTTCTTATAAAAATCATGATTTGGGGTTTGGAACCAGAGGGCAGGAAGGCAAATCGTTCTATTTCTGCTTTTGTTTCAACGAAAATTTCTCTGAAGCATCACACAGCATGCCCACTAGACAGAGAGCAACATACACCACGTTCTCACCGCTCGGGGGACAGGGACGCCGGTGACATGCCGAGGGACTCCGTGGAGGCCCGCTGCCTCTCTGGAGGGCAGTGTGGCAATAAGGGTTGACGTCTCAGCGTTAAACAAACTGCTTTTCTTAACTGTTCCATTTCTAAAATTCTACCTGAAAGAAATAATGAGCGTCTGACAGGAGGCAGCTGAGAGAAGGGTGGTCTCCATCTTTAAATGAAAGCAAAGCCCCGGGAACCCCCTCAGCCCTCCACTGGAAGGGGCGCTGGTTCGGGAAGCATGGGCCGTCCATTCGGGGTGCTCTTCGCAGCCATTAAGATCATGTTTCACAAAATGTCTCGTATTTTCTCACGTCATATATTAAACGGAGGGATGGGGAGTCAGAGTCGACGCTGTAGCAAATGAATGGTCGCAATGTAAAATATACAGAGAAAAGAGAATGAGAAAATATACCGAAGTGTTCAGAATAGTTATCTGTGGGTGATTTTCGCTTACTTTGTAGTGTGTATGTGTGTGTTACGTCTTCTATAATCTGCACGAATGTCTTTTTCACCATAAAGGACAATGAAAGATGTTAGACCAAAATATTTACAAAATTTAACCCATTTGAGACCTAAAACACTGCACCTTCTCTCTTGCCCCCACCAGCTTAAAAAAAAACAAAAACAAAAAACTCAACAAAAAGATTAATCCATAGTTTTTTTTAAACACTGCATTTTTAATTCTGACTCTTTTTGTTTAATTTTAAGGGCGTAAATACATCATAGTTACATGAAGGGCGTGTGTTGCCATATGCTATAGCGATTTCATAACTGCCTTTCGAAATAATTGTCATCAAGGTGCGATTTCCTTGTCCTGCGTCGGCACACCTGCCATGCTACCTTTTCTTTCCCCGACATTGGCCAGGTGAGCCTTGCTGTCACCTGACTATATCATTCCTTGTTTCTTTCTTTCTTTTTTTTTGGCCTCACCCGAGGACATTTTTTGATATTTTGTTCAGGTAGAGTGGGAGGGAGAGAGAAACATCGATGTGAAAGGGACACATCAAGTGGTTGCCACCCTCACGACCCAACCAGGGCCGAGGACAAACTGCAACTGAGGTACGTGCCCTTAGCGGGAACCGAACCTGGGTCTCTCTGGACCACAGGCCGACGCTCTAACCACTGAACCAAACCGGCCAGGGCTCATTCCTTGTTTCTAACAACACCATTGCCCAAATAGCCTGCAGGTGGACACAATAGCCCTGAAGTAGAATAGATATAAGGAACTGCTGGGAAAACCACAAGACCTTGAGTTCTCAGGAGAAGGAAAGAAAAATGTGTTCCTGGCACAGAGTATATCAAGCTGGCAGGTAGCTAGAAAGATGGATGGATGAAGGTCAAGGAGTGAGTGGACACTGGTGAAAGGGTGGGTGGATGGGTGGATGGGTGGATGGATGGATGGATGGATGGATGGGTGGATGGATGGTGGATGGATGGTGGATGGGTGGGTGGATGGGTGGATGGATGGGTGGATGGGTGGGTGGATGGGTGGGTGGATGGATGGGTGGGTGGATGGGTGGATGGGTGGGTGGATGGGTGGGTGGATGGGTGGGTGGATGGATGGATGGATGGATGGATGGGTGGATGGGTGGATGGGTGGATGGGTGGATAGGTTGGGAGGTGGATGGATATTGGTTGGGTGAATGGCGCCCCCAGGCATCTGTCTACAGGATGATGACTAAGTAGTTTACCCTGGCCCAGTGAGGACTTGACCACCTAACACCTGCCCCGATTTCCACCTTATTTTCTGCCACTTATCTTCCAGCCCCTCCCCCAACTTTTCTGACCAGCTCTCCCTGGGAAACACCTACTCTGCTTCCACAGGTATTTCCTCCCTGGGGAGCTGCAATCAACCTGGAGGGCTCCTGTCCTCCCTCAAGGCCAGGCCTCTCCCTGACTGTCCCCACTGCCTGTCTGGGCCCGTGTGAGCCCCAAAGGACCACACGCTGTTCTCCAGGTTCTCTGACTCCTACTAGCCCGGACTCTGTGGAGTGGCGGGGTCAGAGGAGGCACCAATAAGCATTTGTTGGATGAATGAGCCAGGTCTGTTATGAAAAGCCACAAGGTCCATAAGGTGGGAATGCCGGTAGTTTTCCCAAGCCTTTTGCTGCCAACAATGTTGCCTATTAATAAGTGATTTATGTCCCTCCAAACCCAGGCAGTTTACAGACCCATTCTTTACCTACAGCCGAAGGGTAAACCAATCACTCTAGAAAAGGCTCCGGAGCAGTATGTAACTTCCTTCCAAGCAGAGCTGGGTCCCTCCTACCCCCAATCCCCCCCGCCCCCCCACTCCCCTCAACAAAGAGCTTGTTGATCAACCGCAGAGCCAAGCTGTGCCAAAATACTTCCCAGAATAAACGGATTAGGGGTTTGTGCCCCTTTCCACGGGGCTCAGCCTGTGACCACGGAGGCTTTTTTCTTCCTGCGCTGGGGGCCAGGCCCGCATGAGGAATGTTAATTCTGCAGATTACATGCCAGGTACCAACCTCTGTGCGGTGTGCTGGCCCTAGGTCAGAGGTTGCGGGGAGCAGCTGCAGGAACTACACACAATCTCTTCTTGAAAAAGTCAGCAGGTCTTGGCAATCATGTCAAAGTCTAAGTTGTTAGGGAAGAAGTCGGGATGCAAATGTGCCGTGTACGAATGCGCAGGGCAAAGTGTGGTTTTATGTACGCACGTACTCACGTACTCCAATTGTGCGTGGAACGTGGAGAAATGAGAACAGTTGTGTGGCTCGTGGAAATACGTTTTTTTCCCTCCTCAATTTTCTCTATGTGATATTTGAACCATGAAGAGGGGGAATCAAAGGCTGCCTGACCATGCAGTAGGACAATGACACTGTAATCCCTGATGTCCCCTTCCCCTCAAAGCCCCTGCTGCTCCTCCGGTTCTTAGGATCTTGGTAAACTGCTGGACCCCACCCCCAGAGATTCTGACTCAGATAGCCGCAGGAGGGCAGGGTTCTGCATTTCTGACAAGCTCTTAAGTGGTGTCCATCGAAGGACCACACTTAAGGAAGCCCCCCTCCCAGGCGCCAGCTGCTAGAACCTGGGCAGTGGGTTGCTGGTAAGTGCGGAACAACTGGCTTTTGGACCTAATTTGTAGCATTTGCTGATGACCGTGGTGTAAATGCTCCCTCCATGGCCGATGGCAGACTAGCAAAGTCCTGGCCTCGGATGAACAGCGGGGAGAGCTGTTCAGAAAAGTTGGGGGCAGGGCTGGGAAGAGATGGGCAGAGCCAGCTCTGGTAAGCAAGTGTGAGCCAACCCGGCACATCGCTGGAGCCACAGCCCCGCGGTCGGCACCCAGCCTGGAGCGGAGCCACAGCAGCGGGGCCCTGTAGAGGACAAAGGTGTGTACGTGGAGGAGGAGGAGGAGGAGTTGGAAGCCTGAGAAACGTTCCCCGGAAAGCAGCTGACTCCAGCTGCCTCTCCGAGGGTCTCAGAGAGCGAGCCAGACGCAAGGGCTTGCAGAGATCCATGTAACGCAGAAGGAATTCTCTCCTAGTGATATTCTTGGCTTTAGGAAACAGATAAGGTAAATAAGGAAAATAGCAACATGCTCTAGAATGACAAATTTGTGTGCATGTTGGGGTTACACATGTTATAAAATTTGGAAAATAGACAACTACAAACACAACAAATAAATAAAATACAAAATCACCCCAAGTTTCAGCACCCAGAGGTCAGGACTGTTAACACATTTTTGGCTTTAAAAAATTAGAACCAGCCCTGGCCAGGTGGCTCAGATGGTTGGAACGTCATCCCATACACCAAAAGGTGGTGGGTTTGATTCCTGGTCAGGGAGCATACAGGAGGCAGCTGATCAGTGTTTCTCTCTCTCTCCCCCTTCCTCTCTCTAAAAAATTCAATTAAAAAATTAGCCCTGGCCGGTTTGGCTCAGCAGTAGAGCGTTGGCTAGAGGACCAATGAGTCTCGAGTTCGATTTTGGCCAAGGGCTCGTTACTGGGTTGCGGTTGGTCCCCAGTCCTGGACGGGGTTGTGCGGGAGGCAACCAGTAGATGTGTCCCTCTTAAGTTGATGTCTCTCTCTCTCTCTCCCTCCCACTCTATCTGAAGATAAATAGAAAAGTATCCTCGGGTGAGAATTAAAAAGAAAAATCAGACCCTGGCCGGTTTGGCTCAGCGGTTAGAGCGTCGGC